AGGAATGTTTTAGTCCTGTTGATATTGATGTATAGAACAAAGTCCCTGAATGAAAAAAAAGAACCTCAAGATTTAGCTTTAGCTATAAATTAACAGCTACTATTGGAATTTTGGGCAAATATCTGACAGCTTGGTTCTCCCACATGCCAGCAAGAGAAATACAAGTAATTACCAAGTAACCCGAATCAATAACTCTTATTTATATTAAACATGGTTTAATTAAGCTCTAGTAAATAAGTGATCAAGAATCCAGTCAAAATACTAAGTATGTATGTTTCTATGTATGTTTATACTTGACCCATCAGATGATTTTACACTGAATGAATTAGGCAATGAATCTAAGCAAAAGTTTTCGTTTTTGAAATAAACTGAATTAGGTTTTGTTTTATTGCATTTTATAGAGAATCCCACAGCAGAATGAAGCATTAAGAGGTAGAAATTCAGCCAAGGAATAAATCAACCACAAGGACAAACCAATTTTAAGTGAAAATGGCTTGGAGCATGAGTAGGAGTAAGAATTATCCAGCAAGTCATTTTTCCTCTGTGAAATCAATATCATCTTCATTAATGAAAATCATTTCATTCTTTTTCTTTTCATAGAACCAGTATGTTGGATCAGCTTGTAACAGAGGCAAAAAAAAAAAAGAAAACAGAACACCATTCACAACTATGGCTGTTCCTCAGCTATCTCAGCCTGTCCTCCAACATGAGTTAATAAGGTGCTCTGCTACTGTGCCATCGATATATTAGTCCCACTTTTAAAAATCTGCTGATAGGCCCCATATATTTAGAAGAAACACTCCCCCGTACTCCACTATTTGGCAAAGTTGCAGAACAAACTTTGGGGTCTACAGATCTCCCAGAAGGGAAATTCTTTCAAAGCAGTTTTGATAAGAAGTAAATTGCATAATCCTTCTTGGCAGATTGAAAACACAGTTTCTAATTCTTTCCTCAGGCACATGCACTTACACTGCTCTTTGACATAACATTTTATCTGCTTGTGTGTTCTCCGTTCATGTGTGTGATCATACCTGGTAAGCTGTTGTAGAGAAATAAATAGCTGTCAACATCTCCTTTGGGCTCCCTCCATGAAACAAGAAGTCTGCTGGAACTGTGCACTTTGAAACGCAGCCTCCTTGGAGCTGAAACTGGAGAGAAAGTTAACATATAAAACAGATGCAGGAATAAAAAACAAATGCATAAAAAAAATTCTGTTTAAAAAAAGGAAACATCCTTGACACATTTCAAACCATCATTAAACACTTGTTAAAAAGAATTTAGCAAGAATCTGAAATCTAGAATAAAATATAAGACTCAACAAGGAAATGATTAAAAGGAGGGAGAAATTAGGAGTTACTTTTAGTTTGGGTATTCATACAGCCATTAATTCACAATGCCTTACAAACAAACATATTCTACCCCCTGCAGCTGCATTGACTCTTGTAACATTTGTTGTAATCCATATGGATGAAAAACTTGGATTACCTCTTTTATGAGTGACATTTTGAAAGCTGGAGGGTTCAATCAACTATCTTATAAGGGCAAGTAATTCACAGAGCTACACACCTATGTCCATTTACATAGGTAAAAAGAATATTCTGAAAAATATTCAAAGGAGCCATATAGTTATTATAGTTAGCATAGTTAGTAATGCAGAATAATTTTTTAAATAGTTGTGGAATCATGCATTCAGAAAAAAAATGGCTGATTATAGAAAATTAGTACAATAATAACTATCTATTCAGGAAACACATCAAATAAATGGAAGAAGGTATTTTGATCAGAGCAGACCAAAACTAAACCCCTTGACCTTCATCAGAAAAGCTATCTGCACCAAAACAAAAAAGCCGCAGTACTCAACATCTTTATGGTGAAGTATGACTGTGGAAATACATACTTCAGAGACAGGAAAGCCGGTCAGAGTCTGAGTGAAGATAGATTGGAGCTAAAGACGTGTCAGCTCTGAATAAAAAAGTCATAAGAAGCCAAAAAAGATGGATTCAACCTAAAGCTGGGAGCATCTGAATATACAAGCAGAGGTACAAAGGACTGGATTTGAACGACTGATATCCAAATGCCACAGTGGCCCAGTCAAAGTCTGAATATAAATCAGAAGAATCCATCAAGCACTTGAATATTACTGACTAGAGACATAGATTCCATCCAGTTTGACCGAACTTGAACTATTTTGCAGTGAAATAGAACAAATTTTCGGTTTGTAGATGTTAACAATAAAGAAATGGGGTGTCTAAAAAAAAAATTAAAAGCCCAAAATCTGAAATTACTTGTGTAAAAGGCAAGTTAACAATAAGAATTAAGGTTGCAATGCAAAGTTGGAGAAATAAAATCAGAGATTACCTTAAAAGTATCTAACTTTTTCTAAAATATTCACATCTGTTACTTGCCGCACATATGTGGCCCAAAAGACTTGGAGCTGCAATCTCTTCTGGAGTTTGTGATTTGATTTTTAAAAATGTATATGATTTTCCTTCCAAAGCTATGCACAAATGGTGTAGGTCAATAGAAATAAAATCAATGTTATGGCTGTAATGTGATTATATCTGGATAATAGGGATAATAATGTAATAGGGAGTGTATACCCTAACAGTTTAGTCTATTCCATATTGCTGGAATATTTCTATGTTGTTTATATTTATGCAAAACAAATAATGCATCTACGGCACAGATATTTAATTGAATATGAATCAAAATGCCATCTATGTTGTATGTATTACTTGTTTTAGTGTTTGGCATCTTTTACACTAAAGCCTTCCATTTTCCCTGTTGTGTGGATTTTAAACTTAAGGTTATATCCCGTGATGCATCCATCCGTGGTTAATATTTACTTTATATTTAGAAAGCATAATGTGCCCTGATCCCAGTGCTCCTTCCTCTGAGCCCTCATGCTACCCCTAGCCCACAGAGTCTTTGATGACCACATTGATTTTAGGTTTTTATTTCTGAGCCTGGAGTTCAGCGGTTGGCTGCTAATATCCTGGTTTCTGGGTCCAAGACTGACCATGTGTGAAAGAGAAGGGGGGGCGTTAAGGCTGGATTTTCTATACTTCTGTAATGGTAGCTAGACCCTGAAATTACTTCATTTCAAACTTCTGCTCAGATAGAGCAAATGGACAAAATTAGTTTGGTCTTAAATTTTTTGTTTAAATCTCCATAAAAAAAATGTTAACTTAAAATCTAGAAACTCAGTATTATGCGAATGTTTGATTGGTGAGATATTTGTTTAATTTACAATGTAATGATTACAAATTGTTCATAAACTAATAAATAAACATTTGTGGAAAAAAGTATAAAATTTAACATTCAAAGTGAACATTTAAATGTCCACAAAGATGTTTATTTGGAGTACAAATGGGAAAAGGGCCTTCCCAGGTTGCCACCTTGTGCTTTTGATTTGCATCATAATTATATTTTGAATAGTTTGCCTTTTTCTCTCACTTCCACATCCAAGCCTGCTTACTTTTGGCTCCTGCATTCAACACTAAGCTAACTAATAAAATAACTAGGTCCAACAGTCATGCTAAAAATATGTGTTTTATTAATTAATGTTTGGTTTAGTTAAGCAGGTTGTATCATCTGAATCTGTACAAGGGAATGTTTTTATGATGTATAAACAGAAAATGAATGTTGTTCAAATTAAAAAACACAACACACACACACACACACACACACATGTTGTGTCACAATATCCTTGTGGGGACCTTCCATTGACTTCCATTCATTTCCCACTAATTTATATGGCCTCACCGTGACCTTTGCCCTAACCCTAACCATTACCGACACATACCTATCCCTAAACCTAAACTCAATTCACACCTTAGTCCTAAACCTAACCCCCATCCAAGAAGAGAAAGTTTCCTTGTGGGGACCAGTTGTTGGTCCCCACAAGTACCTATGAGTCCCCAAAATGTAGCATATTCCTAGGAAATTGTCCCCACCAGGTATTAAAGACATGGCCACACACACACAAACACATAAAGTCGTGTTTTCATGACTTATGGGTACTAATGGTACATTTAATTGACTTACGTTCATTTTCTATGGCCTAACCCAGACCCTTACCCTAACCCGAACTATTACCAACATATACATAAGCCTAACCCCAACTTAAAGAACAGCTTTACCTTATGGGGACCAGGATTTTGGTCCCCATTAGGACATATTGTAGGTCCTTATAATTTGTGTAAACAAATTGAAGGCCCCACACCATCTTAGAAACAAGTCCACACACACCCAAATATATATATGTAAATATATATATATATATATATATATGTAAAGATTCGTCCGAAACTGATAAATAATGAAATTGTTTGCCTTCATTTCTTACTATAAATCAATCTCTGCCGACAAAAATTCACACCAACCCAGCAAATGCAAAAATATTTCAATCTAATACTGCAGGGCTGAAATGTAAAAATCATCCTCCCAAAGTCAGTTTTTATTACTATATTTTCTTATATTCTAAAACTGCAAGCATTTAGAGTACAAACATTTTAAAACAAATCTTATTATTTTTGGTCAAATATTTTAGGGGAAAACATGTTATTTCTTTTAAAAACAGTAGTTAATGTGCTTGTTTAACTTTATCTTAACTTATTCATATAAGTCTCAACTATTAGGCAGAGCAAACAAAGGAGGGCAGAAATAACATCCTCTTATAATTCTTCATACTCAACTGTAATTTTCATATGCATCAAGAAATATCTGGTTCTTAAGAAGCGACAGTGCGCCACCTATCCAATATTCCTAAAGCATGGTCTGAAAAGGTATAATTATGCCACACAATAAAAATCTATGAATAATTTTAAGTGCATGATAGCACTCAGAAGATTAATACCTTGGTATCACTTAGTGTGCTTGATGGTAGGTGAAGTGAGTAGGTAGGACCTTTATAATTGGGTGAAAATTGCTTTGAGTGCCTTTACTTTTGCATTGCATGTCAATGATTGTGTATATCTTACTGAATTATTGAGAAAAACTGCGTTGAAAATAGAGTGAGCCCACTGTTTCTGTGAATATTAAGATCTATGAGTAGGACGTTTTTATAGACATAAAAATGTGATAAATGACTTATGGAAATAAAGCCAGGATGCTTACAGGGCCTCCGATTACCCTTCAACAGCCTGACACGTTTGTTGTTGTTTACCACCATGCAGCCATAAATATCATAGAGCCACATTATATATTTGTTCTTTAGATATAAGGGCCAATATTTTCTCTATTATGCATTCAATAAGGTCTAGTTCTGCTGCACAATATGAAGTCCTTGTGTAGGAGGACCTCATATTGTGTTTAATATCAAATGTGGCCCTATATCTTAGCAGATTTTTTCTGACTACAGCATATAAATATAGATTTTGCTTGCTTTAGCATGGTTTGGGCGAATGGTAGATAAAACCATGATCCAGAAGCAAAAAGAGTGATCATGAAGGTCAAGGGAAAAGTACAATTTTAAATGTAACCATTTTAGTATATTCAAATCAAAAACTGAAACTGGGAACACAAACAATGTACCATGTGAAATGAGAAGACAGACATAACAAAGGGTATTAGTTTAAATCCAGGATAGGACCCAACAAGCAGGTTCAGCATATCCAACTGTCAGTGGCAGCTCTTGTATAACTGGTGCCCTTGATAAATCCTTCCTTCTGCTGCTTTATAAACACACTTTGTAAAAACCTATTTTTCAGTTTAGCTCTGGAGCCTGGAGAAAAGAAAGAAACTCTGAAGGTTGGAGCTCTGATGAAGGCTGGAACCAACAGCAAAGCTCAGCAGCCAGGAACCAACAAATGAGCTGAAGAACAGGGAAAAAAGGTAGGGCCAACTGGATACTCTCATCTGAGAAGTGAGGAACAGTGGCAGGAGGAATGTCTGCTTGGACACCTTTGTTCAAGAACCCAGAAATATGAGGCATGTACACCTGGGGACCCTATAAGAAAACTAGGGAACTAGCTTGAGGTTAGGGGTGGCCTTTTGTGCCATCAGACATGAAAGAGCAGGAGGAGCTTCCTTCAAACAGCAGTCGGTGGGCTCTGGGATTTGGGAAAGTGGGGTAAGTTTTGGGACTTCAAAATAAAAACTATGAAGTGTTTTGATCCTGCTTATGGCAACAAAGGCCTATGTTTAA